CTGGGCTGGGCACACAGACTGGGCTGGGCAGTGCCCACAACCTGCAGTGGCAGATGTGGAGCTCCCAGACAGGCTTCATGGGAGATAAAGCCCACTCAGGCTTTCAGAGCCATGCTGGGCACACCCCAGGGTTCCCCTGCTCTGGTCCTGAGGTGGCCGGACCGCTCCTCACAGGGCACCTCAAGCTATAGGTTTGTCCTGTCCTGGGTCTTCCTCACACCCTCCTAAGTTCTGGCTCTGTGGTGTTGCTGGCCATGGCCTCCTTCCTGCTGGCACATTCTCCTGCTCCCAGCCTGTTCCCAGCCGTACCCCGCGGGCAGGGCTCCCCGTGAGCCCCCGTGGCTACTCCTGTGGCTGACCCCACCAGCACCCGCTGACGAGTGTCCTCTGCAGCAGCACTGTGCTAAGGAGGGGTCCCTATGGCACCTTGCTAGGAACACGCCCAGTGCAATGACTTCTTCAGTCTGATTACATTTTTCGATCATTTAACTGTTTTTAATCCATTTAATTTCTGAGGCATTACTGGGTATAAGGCAATTTTTCAAAGTTCCTGGGGCAGTGAATCAAATTATGTTAGGAAACCTGTTTTGTGGCAGTTACCTTCAGTCAGCAAAGTTATCATCCCCCATGGCAAATGTCTTTAAGGCTTCTGCACCATAAAACCACTACACTTGGCATTAATTGCACTATGGAACTGAAGAATTCGTTACTGAAGATTTCTCACACAAGTATTTCCATTATTATTTCTGGGCCTGACAACTGCTCATTGGTTATGAGATTTTAAGGACAGACAGTAAAGAATTTCTCCTCCTCAGGAACCAATCCGTTGTTCCAGGGTTTGTTAAAACTTATTATTAATGTCTTGGAGTATTCAACTCGGTTAATTCCCCTGTGTACGAGCTATCCAGTCATGTCACTGTGAGTGCTTCTGAGCACTCCTGTCCCTCAGCAGGCAAGGCAGGACTGTGATTGTCACTTGCAGATAATTTCCTCCCTTGTTTCTAAATTTACCAACTGGTATCTCCAGCATCTTTAGCTCCCATGTTCTTCTCTGTTCCCTGAGGGCTTGTGGGCATCCCCTGGCGTCCATCCTTCTGTCCATACCTCTACTGCTGTGTGTGTTGGGCACAAGGGCAGCATTCCCAGCCCCTGCCTCCTCATTTCTCATGGCTTTCAGCACATGGTGCCAAGTGCCCTCCTGTATTGCCCTCCCTGGCCATTCCCTTCTCTTTTCCCAAAGCCATGCTTTTTCTGCAGTGTGATTGCTGAAGCTTTCTTTAATTTCCAAAAGCACAGGTTTTGGAAATGCAGGTGAACCCGGTGGGAAGAAATGCTGATGTCTGACTCCAGCTCAGAAGGCTGAATGATTTCTTTATTATAACTATACCATAATACATTAATATACTATTTAAAGGAGATACTAAAACTACAAACCTACTTTTTCTAACTCCCATATCCAATTCACTGACAACTGGTGACCCTCGCTGAGAGCCTAGCCTCAGGGGGGTTGGATTTGCCATAGGCTCAAACAATCCTCACCAGAATCCAACCAGGCAATCACCCCAGGTAAACAATTCTCCAAGCACATTCCACATGGGAAAACAAGGAGCAGAAATAGAAATTGTTTTCTCTTTTTTCCCTCTGTGCTCCCCTATGAAAAATCCTGAGAGAGAGAAGACTGTCCCTACTAACACAGAGTGTGACCCGTGTGCTGGGCTCCTCCTGCCCCTGCCGTGTGGCTGGAAGCCGCAGCTCCCGTGCTCAGCTGTGCTCTGGCTCGCCGTGGCTCAGCATATGTGCCGTGTTTTGGGCTGAGCACCCCAGGGCACAGCAGCGCCCTGGCCGTGCCTGCTGCTGGAAAGGTGCTTCAGTGCATCTCGAGATAATAGCTCAGAAAGCAAACAAAAACTCAGAAGAAAGAAAAAATATTTTCTCTGGAAAACAGTATGAATTTTTCATTAAAAGCTGCACTCAGCCTGTCTGATGAGTGCTATGAGGTTATCCTGGCTGGAGAACACCCAGCTGCCACCTGTGAATCTCTCCTGTCTCTTTTGACATCTTTAACTTAAAAACTTCTCTATTATTTTTTTCCAGCAGTTTCTCTTCAGCATCACCTCTTCTGGCAGCCAGACCAGAGCCCAGGTAACAAGCTGGCAGCTCTCCAAACAAGACTTCAAACAGTCCTGCTCTGCCAGACCCTCAGGTGGAGACAGCGGTGTAACATGGGGCCAGATCCTGGGCAGCCCCACACCCCACAGCCCACACCCCACACCCCACAGCCCACATCCCACAGCCCACACCCCACAGCCCACATCCCACATCCCACACCCCACAGCCCACATCCCACACCCCACAGCCCACATCCCACAGCCTACAGCCTCACACCCCACAGCCCCTCATCCCACACCCCACATCCCACACCCCACAGCCCCACATCCCACACCCCACAGCCCACCACGGTGCCTGTGTGGCCTGAGCTACTCCTCAGCCACTGCAAAACAGCTCAGAGCTGGGTTAGGCTGGCAAATGGAATAGGAAAAAGAGAGGTCACTGATGATTTATGCCCTCCCATGGCAGGTGTAGGATCACAGACAGGTTTGAGTTGAGAGGCACCCTAAAACTCATCCCATCCAACCCCCCTGCCATGGGCAGGGACAACTTCCACTGTCCCAGGCTGCTCCCAGCCCCATCCAGCCTGGCCTTGGGCACTGCCAGGCATGGAAGTGGATCCAGGGATCCAGGGGCAGGCACAGCTTCTCTGGGATTTCTCCCCAGTATCCCACCCATCCCTGCCCTTGCAGGGAAGGGAGAACGGGTAGGAAAACCATAAGGGATCCACATGTCCATCATTGCCCAAAATACCAACCAATGCCCCATATATAAATATAACATTAGGCATTATATCACATACGCATAATCAGGAAATGGTGAAATTTCCATGGCTATCGAGGCTTGATTTTCATGGGAGCAGCTGATGTGCAAGCAGCCCTTCCCTGCAGAGCACAAACACACTCTGACCAAACTGCCCTCACAGCAGGCTGGCAATGGTGCCATGCAAATGTCCTTGATCTTTTGCTATAAATTCAAAATTCTTTCAACCTAGGCTCATAAAATCATTAGGAATAAGTTGTTGTGGTAGAAAGAAACCTATATCATTTTGCAAAGAAGCCCTCTGAGCAGGGCAGTCTGAGGGACAGCTGATGCCAGAGGTGGCTGAACTGACAGAACCTGATTAAATTTGGCCTTGGGACAGAAGCTGAATTCAGCCCTGGATCTGGCAGAGCCCTGGGAGGGGACAGTCTGATGGGCATCAAAAGCCGGAGCAAATCTCGTCACAGCCCCTGTGAAGTGAAACCAATGGGTTTTACACAGCAGTGCTTAAGGGCTTTTATGTGTGTAAAATCCCAGTCACAACAAGGCCCTGATGTCTTCTTCTTCTTCTTTTAGCTTTCATGATTCGCTTTTGGAAATACACATTGAAATAAAAGCAAAAATAGCACATGCAATGCTATAATGTGGACCAGGTGGCCAGAAATTCCCCACGTGTAAATCATGAGTCAGTGTTTCCTTCTGCACTCAAAGAAAAATTGTCTTTGCTCAACCATCCCTGCAGCCCCACTGGGTATGTAGCTCTGCCTTTCCCCAGTGAAAATTAGGAAAATGAGGCATGACTCTGACACACTTTCAGGCTTAACAAGTAAACACTTGAAAATACAGCAAATTAAATATATCTGAAGAAATAAGGCAAAAAAAAAAAATTATCATTTTCCAATTAATTAATATTAATACTGGAACTTCAAATGGGAGATCCTCCTCAAGGCTTGGAGCACGAAGCTCCTACGGCTGCTCAGGAGAGGCTAAAGCTGGTGCAAATGGCCCCACTGGGGAGAGGAGCTGTCTCAGCTGGCTCTTGGAGGAGCACCAGAAAACGGTTACCACTCTATGAGCAACACCTGAAAACACTTTCAATAAT